TCACGTTTGCGAAGTCTGTGAATTGGAATTATTTAATTTTCCACCGACGCGAAAGCAAGCGTAGTTTTTTTTTTCCTCAGTTCATCTCAGCTGCAAATTAAATTTCTATTCTTAAATTAATATCTCTATCAAATTCAAAGAAAACGTTAATTTTCATCTCAAAACGCGTTGCATTTTTTTTATCGAACAAATAAAACATTCTACTTTTTCTCTGTTTCCGTCAGAATGTCTCGAGATCCTTCTGTTCATTAAAAAAAAAACAAAAAAAAACTCGAAAGTAGCTCATGGTCGAGTTCCGAAACGCAGCTCGAAAACCGTGTTCGGTGTAATCGTGACCGAGAAACCTTCGCATCAAAGATCGAAGATTGAGAGCACTAGCGGTGCATGAAGTATGCGGTGCTTGTGAGCGGAATCGGGAGCACCTCTTCGATGAGAGCAACTCTCGAACACGCGACATAATGCAACGACGGCGCTGAATCTTGCTGGTTTCCATCCGACAACTTCGGAAATTACGTGTTTATGTTTTGCGCAAAGTCCCTTCGTTAGCGAATATCCCATCGAACTTTGCTCTCTCTCTCTCTCTCTCTCTCTCTCTCTCTCTCTCTCTCTCTCTCGCGCGAATAAAAAATAATTAAAAAAATTCAAGGTCAAATATCCGACAAATTAAATTTGCAAGATTTTAAGTTACTGAAAATTTTGATTTTTTTCTACATTGCATCGTTGTCGTTTCGCGTACGCGAAAAATCGAGACCGTTCGCGTAATCTCTGGCGCAACTACTGAATGTAAAGGACCACTTTCAGACGCGCGGGCAAATGGCGTGTGCAATGTGTGTGTATTATGAGAGCTCAACGAGAAACGGAACCCATTGGCTAGCGCCGACTTGTCACGTTGCCATAGCGCGAGAGAACGTAGTTTGCATGAAGGAGAATACACACGTAAAAACCTGAGACACGCGCCGGTCGTGTAAACGAGCGATGTAAAGACGCGATGATAACCCGGCGAGAACGAGAGTAAACCACACGACGGCGTCGTTGCCGTCGAAAAATAGTGTTATTTGCGTCGAAGAATGCAGGTGTTCAGATTTTTACGGTTATACGCGTACGTGCTATCGTACGAGGTTCTATCGAATTTCCTGCGAGACGCTTCGACGTCTGCTACACTCGAAACTTGCAAACCCAGTAAGTTTCTCCAGGGGTGTTTTAAATCGCCGAAAGATATAGATTTTTCGTCATTAAATACAATTCGTGTGGGAGAATTTGAGCTGACAACGTCTGAAATGATGAAAAATATTTTTTTTTTCTATTTTTTTACAGTGTTTTTTTATGTTATTATTATACGTCTCTTAATTGTGCAAGGAAACATTACAAATTGCGAAACTTTTATTCAGATAAAATGTAGGACTGAAAGAGAGCGAAAATATTTAAAAAAAAACAAACTCGTTCTCGTTGCGAATTTTAATAAGTCGGATTATAACAGAAAAATCCGACGTTGTTCTCATCAAAATGTGCAAATATCAGAATTAATTATTTTTTGTGTTAACCGTTGTGATAAATGAACGAGCTTCGGGGTGAAAAAAAAAACAAAGTAAGCTAAAGAGTATCTTCTATCCTACAAAGCAAGACTGTGGGCGAACTATGACACGAACTGGTTTCGAAGTGGCTTCCTATACTACACAGTTCACAATACATGTATATATACGTTTTATCGATCCGCGCGGCAATTCCGAGCCAATGCCACCGGCAAAAGTTTCTCCGGTTGCACGCAATTGAAAGTGTAGATGCATGTTGCAATATTGTTCGCACTTGGTATTAACCTCACATGAGTTAACCTGATTTATTGCCATCAACAATGTAACGCTGTACATATATATACATTATTTATATTGTGTATATATATATACACATTACATACGCGTGTAAATAATCGAGCCTGTCGAGAGAAATTATCAAGAGAAATTATTGACTGCTACAGAGTTACAGTCTATTAAAAAAGAGGATAACGTGACCGTAAAACTGTCGATAAACGTGTGACATAAAACTGAAAATTAACAATTGCCTGACGTCTTCGAGGCATACTTTTCGCTAACTCAAAATACGTTTCTCAAAGAAAGGTTGTTTTGACAATAGTGACGACTGAACGCAAAATTAATACAAAAACATTGTTTTGTATGTATCTTTGGTTTTTAAATAATAAAGTTTTCTATAAATTAAAGTCGGTCAGGTGCTTCCTTGATAAACTGTATTTTAAACGAGAGAGAAGTTGTATAAAAAAGATACTGTGTATACTGTTTTGTATAAACAAGCTGTACGTCGAACAATTGAATATTGTCTGACGGAAAATATGATATCTGTTCGCGCGCACTTTTTAACAGATGTTTACACGTTTCTTTTGTTTCAACGTTGAGAGCGCGAATTTAATAAATAAAAAATTTAATAAAGAACGTAAATAATAACTTCGAGATGAAAAATGTTTATAAAATACGAAAAGTCCAATACCGGAAATCGAATTACTACACACACACACACACGCACACATAAAAGCGTCGGGAATATTTATATAATGTAAAATAGAAATATATGAAAGAAAGAGAGAGAATGCGTATGTTTTAACGGATTATGTTAATAGAAATTGATACTAATCGGATTCCATAAATGAACTTTTCACGCTGCGCACGTTATAAGAACAAGAGAATATAATGAAACCGGACGTTTGTTTTTTTTGTGTTTGTTTTGTTTTATTTTTTTTCCAAATATATTAAGCCGTTAAAAGAGAGACAGAGATTGCGTTTCTTATATTTATACAACTATGGCACCACTAAAATTATGTAATATCACACGCGGTATTATCGCTATCCACACTTTTCAATATTTTTACGAAACAAAAAGAACGTAATGCCATTTATAGAAGTAAAAGTAAACGAAGATAGATTCCATTGACTGTAAAAAATCTTTTATTCTGCTGAACTTTTGCCCCACAAAGAAATTTTATTTGATAAAAAAAAAAAAACGTTTTAAAAGAATTTTATTTGTCAGAAAAAAAAAACAACTATCGACCGTGTTGCGATTGGCACGATTAATGAAATTGAAAACGCGCGCGCGCACTTTTGCTATCTAATTCCGTCTATCAATATCAATCAAAATGAGCATTCTGTGCACGATCGAGTGTATACCACATGTCCGCACAATATGTTCGTGCGTTGCCGCTCGCGCGCGAACATGATTAACTATAAAACTCTATTTCGAGGGAGAGGAGAGGAAGGTGGAGAGGGCGAAGGATCCATTTTCGCGGAATAAAATAGTCTGCTAGCGTGATACGCTTTGCGAAGAATTATGACGGAAAATCCGGGGGACAGCTGCTGGGGAAAAAAAGCGAGAAAAGAGAACGGCAAATCTACTCGCGACTGATTTTGCTACTGGGATTAGTTGTAAGCGCTCGTGTCGGGACGCAAAAAAAAAAAAAAAAACCAACGCGACTATAGCGGATTAATTGCAACTATGGCGTTTTTGTGAATCTCATGGCGAAATCGTAAAAAGAGCCGTTTTCGAGCATCTTCCAAGAGGGAGGGGGATGAAAAACAAGTCAATGCTGCCTCTCGTAATCGAAGAATGATATCTATTTTGTTTTTAAAGTGATTAATTATTTCAATTGTTTGTCTGTGACTAATTATGTTTTACTATTCATATTATTATTATTATTATATTAGCAACACAATGAGAATCGCATTTTGCCGCCGACAAAGTTCTCGCGAACAATATCGCGAGAAAAATGAAAAATGATGAATTTTTATTTCTACATTTTTTGTTTTTCTTTTTTTCAACTCACTCCGTACAAGTAAAGCAAAACTTTTAACGATGTCAGAATACAAGCCGGGATAATGGTCCAAAGTACATGTTCGATAGCCAGGAGCCGGAGAAGGATAATAACGTGTATGCTACTTTAATAACGGCGAACGGCGAGTAAGCCTGTTATTCTTGGTTAGTTTATACACGCCGTCAAGACGATAAATTTTGCTTACGGTAACGCCTTACACCGCGTATAGAACGCCAGACTGGAAGGACTCTCAAGGATATATTCAAGATATTCTCGAGTGCTCTCGAGATTGTCATGATTTTGCCTTGATAAAGCGGCTCTTTGTCTCGACTTAACGTCGAACATTGCGTCTTTTATAGATCACCTTTCGCGCGCTTCCGCTTCTAATAAAATTATTTAAAATTAATTATATCGTTTCCCGATACAAAACTATTAATTGTTCGAAGCAGTTTTGCGACACTTTTGCGAGTGCCGACATAAACAAAAACATTTCGCAACAAAGCGCGCGCGCGGTGGTTGTCTTCCTCAAAATTCTCGAACCGCAATAAAGTAATAGGTCAAAAAACTTCGTGTGTTCGCGCCGAGCGATAAACCATGTGCACCGCATCTAAACATTTTGCAACTTTCCGTAACTGCGCGTGGAAACAGAAAAAAAGAGAGAGAGAGAGAGAGCGAGCGAGCTTTTCGAAATAAATCATTTTTGACACGGGCGCGGGGGCCCGCCGTGAGATTAATGAGCGCGAGATGTTTTTTAACGCCCGCGAAATTTCTTTACGGACGCGTGTGCGCGATGCGGCACAACGGCGTCGTTTCATTACACGGCCACCATCATCCAGCCGGGAATATTTTCCACGCTGCTCAAATGTCAGTCCAAATTGCTGTTTTCTTGCGCCGACGTGGATTACGCGTAATAATGCAAATAAAAATGCAATTAAACGCCGCAAATAAGACGCGCGCGAAGAAAAACCTGATGTACAAATTTGTTTCTTTGTTTCCGTGTTTTTTTTTGGTCGCGCATACACGTTTCGCATATTAAATTTTTCCAAGATACGTGAGATTTTTTACCGAGAGAGTTCGGGGGGATGATAATATAATAAAAATCTCGAATTATACATTAAAGCCGCGTTCAATCGCGTTTACATGAAAAAAAAAAAAAAATACACAACGACGCGAATAATAGAGCGCTTACCCTTCTTCGACGCGTGGAAAGAATCATCTTTTGGCACGTACTGGATGTCGTACTCCAGCGTGGTCTTCGGCAGGATAATTTTGTCCTTGTTGATCTTGTAAACGGCGTACTTGAAGGCCAGCTCCGTGCTGCTATCCTTTTGGTCATGAGTGAATATAGCACCTGCAAATGTAAGCACAAAGAAAGGATTTAAGGATAGCGTTAATCCTTAAAGTGAACATTTTCATCGCCGCACTGATAACACACACACACACACACACACTCTCTCTCTCTCTCTCTCTCTCTCTCTCTCTCTCTCTTAAACGATCAAAGTTCGTTCATCTACGTTAATAAACTGTAAGCTCCGAACAAGGTCGAATCTCATGTAACGGTGTTTACGCACAGTTTTGACGTCGTTTCCCGGGAAATTTGTTTGCGCGTTCGTTGGACTCTCTTTATATGATGCCATATTCATGTTACATTTGGATCTCCGTGTGTGAGAGAAAAAGAGAAACAAAATATATTAAAAAAAAAATATTAAATCGATAAATACTAATTGTTGGAAAAAAATTTGTTACAAAAATCAGTGTTAAATGAATGTTTCTTTGATTGTTTTTGATGTGCTTGTGTGTGTTACCGAACACGAGAGCAGTGTCAATTTAGATCATAGAAACGAGCTCGCCAAACGACTAGCTGGTCTGTTACTGTTGATTGATATCGCAGAATCAGTCCATTTGCGCAATATCAAGGCTATTACACATATATTAAGCGCATAATATCCTTGACATGTGATTACGTGTAGGTTGTCTCTCGTATAATATATGCCGTATAATAATTGCGTAGCGATATAAACAAGCTACTGTACACGTCATATATACAAGGTGACGAAAAAGTATCGCAACACCTGAATATCTCAGAAAATATAAGTTTTACAGAAAAGTGTTTCAGACAAAAGTTGTAGAGTTTAAAAAGATCTATTTACTGATTGTATCGCTTGACCTTGCATGGCGCCGCCACGGTCAGGTCACGGTCACATCGATTTTAAATTAAATGGAACTTATTTTTTATTGCAAATTCCTATAGCTTAATTCAAGAGCTTTCCAAAACACTGTGCTAAAGTTTATTTTCATTAAGTACTTTTTGAGTTATGAAGAGTGAATATTAGAGTTACCCTACAACTTTTATCTGAAACACTTTTCTGTAAAACTTATATTTTCTGAGATATTCAGGTGTTCCGATACTTTTTCGTCATCTTGTATATCGTATGTTCGTACGATTGACGTATATTATCTCGTTTAATGGCAGGCGAGAGGTGTAATATTTTTGCTGAACATATTTCACAACCGTGTACAACCGTCGTTGCGACGTGTAAGTGCAAAATCCTGAAAAGTACCTCGCGTTTTTGAAAAAAAAAAAAAAAAGATTCGTCTACGTTAAAAATCGCTATGCGCATATTTAAGCGACATGCTCGAATGGAAGATGCATTCTAATAAGACCTATTCATCGACCGACACACCGATTACACAGCCGCCGGGTATCAATAGCGCGTCAAAGGTCGTGCGCACAAGACTTTTTTTCTTTCTTTTTTTTTTTTAAAGAGGTCACGTTTGAAAAAGTCTCAAGAATACACCTCCAATTTCATCGAACAAACCGTGAAGACTCTGAACGTGTGTCAACCCGCTTATTGCCAACTCTGCGGTCAGGTCGTTTCGTTTTCTTCGAAGACACGGAATACTTAAAGTTCCGCGCATTGAAGATGGATCAGTCTCTCCCTTCCGGTATTCAAAACGTAGCAGCGAAAATGCCCGGAGTCGTTTGCTAACTAACAAATGTTTTTTTTCCGACGCGATAAAAAAAAAAAAAAAAAAAAAAAAAAAAAAAANGTCAGGTCGTTTCGTTTTCTTCGAAGACACGGAATACTTAAAGTTCCGCGCATTGAAGATGGATCAGTCTCTCCCTTCCGGTATTCAAAACGTAGAAGCGAAAATCCCCGGAGTCGTCTGCTAACTAGCAAATATTTTTTTTCCGAAGCGATAAAAAAAAAAAAAAAAAAAAAAAAAAATAAAAGCGACAGAACGTGTACCTGACCTAGCACCAGGGGCGATTTTATGATTTAAACACGAGCGCTGATTAAAAGCGGCAACCAGCGTCACCGATTACGTCGACAAAAATACATTTTTTTTCTTCTTTTGAAAACGAAAACTTGTGCCGTGTTATTGCCGTTTAATGGACTATTGTATGTAATGCGTGAAGTGCTTAAAAAAAACACTTTTGCTTTAAAATATTTTATTAATTACATTGTCGCACATATGCGAAGAAGAAAAAAATACATAAAAGTCATACATTTGTCTTAATAAAACAATAGTTTTTTTTTTTTTTTTTTTAAATTAAAACACCTTTTGCCATGTAATATACATGTCGAGTGCAATGTTGCATCCAAAAATATTATTACATCCATAAATGATGAGAGATGTGGAGTTAATTAAAATTTTCACATTAGATTTTAATGCTTGAAAAATAAACGTATAACCGCCAACTCACATATCCGTAACGACGTGCGTGATTTGTTTGCATAAGGAGGAGAGAGGGAAAGAGGAAGGTAAATCAAAGATTTAAAGTAATTTCGTTTCGCGCGCATCGGGAAATGAACATTGAGAAATATATATTCAACGAGATTGAATTTAATATCGTTAAAAAATTGTCATTTTATCTCGTCATTTTGTCTCGTTCGAGTCTTTTTGTGTTTTGTCGAAGAGTATCGCGAACGTTGAAACGCCTGCTAATATTAATTACTTTTTTCCGGAGATAGACAGAAACGGGTTTATTCGATCGTGCAACAGAATGAATAGGGTACATCGTGAGCGGTAACGAGTTCTCTTAAGTATTTACGCCCCGCACGCCAAATCACCGGTTCTCTCCATTCTTCGCTTTTTTTTTTTATCGGTTCTTAACCCTTTCCCTCGATATTTCTCTTTCTCTCTCTTCCTCTCTCTCCCGAGTCCGACGCTCGCTCTTTTACCTTTCGTTTCGCCGCGCGCTCGCCGTAACTAGCTAATCCATTTATCTGTAACGGAGTGGATGCGCATTAGCCGTCTTCCATCTCTCATCCCGCAGTATTGTTCGCCGTCACTGTGTAACTTCTCTCTCTCCGCGCCCATTCTTTTTCCCGTTTCTCCGCATTTTCGCTGTAACACGTTAAGCACTCGGGGATCCACCCGGAAATTCTCGCGACGACTTCTTTCCGTATTTTCTTGCGATCCCCATCGTACTACAGACCTCCCTTTCCCTTCCCCTCCGCGTGTACTTACGACCCATCAGTTACGTTTAAATAAAAAATAAGATATACCTCAAAATACGTTCGCGTTGCTTTCAACGACCACACAGCACGATCTCACGGTTATCGTTTTAATTAAGATACGAGTATAATACGCGTAATTATGACACGCGTAAATAATAGCACGAAAAATTATTTATTCGTTAATTACAACATGCAAAGGCGCGTGTGTTTAATTGATTGTAAAATATTATCAATTAATACATATATACGTAGTAAATATACAGTAAGTGTACTCGCTTTTGTATATATGTATATGTAACCACGTGTGTTTATTTATATTTGCCAAATACCAATTATAGTATTAGTTTTTAGTTAATTATAAATTTATTAATTAATACTTTGCTATTTCACTCACACGCGCGCACACACGCAGATGAAAGTTAATTACTGTGAGCGATTCTATCATACAAATTTCGTTAACGGAAGAATAAAAATTATAGAACATGTGAAATATAAAAGAAATGTAAATACTGAATAATGCGCAAAAATGAGAAATTATTCTCCATTTATTCTACGCTATTTTTCAATAGAAGCCCCTGTACATTCATACTCGGTCGTATTGTCAGTATTACTCATAAATTCAAAATTTCACATATTTACACTAATTGGTAACCAGAAACTAAAACATGGCAATGTTCCGGAAAAAAATTTTTCTATATGTGATCTCTGTTCCCCACCGCAAAACTCTCCCCCTTTTTGGGCTTCATACAAACTTCGAAATTCCACATAACATGTATGTTATTAATATACACGAATTATTGAGAAAAAAAGTACACTATCTTAATGGAAAAATGCCGGCGGTCTAAAAATTAACGGGAGTATTTGCTCGTAAAGTTAAAGTTCGCAACACAAATAAGGTAAAATAAACGTAAATGTATAAAGATAAAAATATGAAATATAAAGATAAAGCAATTTTTTTATGATATGTGTGTGTGTGTGCGAGGGCGTGTAAAGATTGATATTTTACAATTTAATAAAAACTTAGCAAACGTTTCTCCTCCACTCTGTTTGAGCCGCTCTCGCAATTTTGCAGTGAATTTCCCCGAATTATTTTTCGTCGCAAGTTTTCATGCACTGTTTTTCCAAAAACTCCTGTAACCGTACTAGCGTTAAATCCGCGGAAAGCATTTTTGAAACACGGCCGGAGATTACCAGCGGTACAGGGCTGATGTTCAACGTAACGCATCGCTTCATTGTGACATTCATGGGCTTTGTGTGCGCGCATTATAAGAACCGGTAACAAAAATATCAGCGTGAAGGGGATTTTATTTCGCGAGTCGCGCGAATTTTTATTGTGTCGTTTCACTTCGATGTAAAAATTCAAAGGATATAAAGAAAATTCCCGCACTCTATTATAAAACACACCGGCAGGAAGCGCGCGCAAAAAATATAATTCGTCAAAGTAAATTATAATCTTTACTTTTTTTTTCATCGCAAATTTTTTTTTTTTTTTTTTTTTTTGTAGCAGTTTTCCAGTTTTACAGTTCGCGATGCCGTTAATTCGCGCCTCACCTTTTCGCTCTCCCGTCGTACGCGAAGTACGTATAATACAATACACACGACGTATTCCATACGTGTATGTATATTCATAGCCATCCGCAGCCAATTCGCATGCTGATCTCGGTCAATCTCGTGGGATCTGCGGCAGATTTACGAAGGATCCGCCGGGTTAATATCGCTAATTCCTCTCGATAAATGATAACAGGTTTCGGAAAGCAAGCTGCGCACGTACGTGTATATGAAGCTTAAGATGCGTTTTCCCACCGATAGAACAATTCGAACGTTTCTCCCGTCGAATATATCCGGGAATATACACTGCGACGATACGAGCGCGGACTATCCCCGG